ACATCTCTTCCTAGCACAAATGAGAGTCTGAAATCCAAACAACTCTCTCTGTTTGCTGTTCTAAAGAACAGAATAATCACACCTTTCCCTCCCAGCTCCAAAGAGATATTTTCAATGCAAATGAGATATAAGACCGGAAGGGTGCTTCTGAAGAAAGCTATAAGGTAAATACCATCATCGTCATCATTATCTTCATTAACCCCTGTCACAGCATGTTGGGATCCCACCAAAATGTCAGTTTCTATTTGAAACATCAATCACCTGCTCCAGAAATAACTCGGGATTTCCATCCTGGTTGCTTCTAAGCTGGCCTGACAGCTTCTGCAGTGACTTCCTCGGTGTCCTTGATCAGCCAGATACCGGCTCTGTAGACATACTCGTATTAGGGAATTTGGCAAGTTGGAATGTTCTTGCCTTTGGTCCCCCTGTAAACACTCATTTCTAACTTAACAAAAGCAGGCCCACTTACGGTACAAGATAACTGGGGTTATCGGGTTGTGGAGAATGTTTAGGTGCCAGATATGTTACTGTTACTATAAATAAATCAAAGACTCAAGCAAGCACGGCAGCAAACCTCTGGGTGTAACCCTGCGTGGGCTCACTTGTGATGTGACACCTAAAAGCAAGGATGAGGCTCAAGATAATGGGACACCCCTTCTCCTTATAAATAGAACATTTTTCACTTTACTATAAATATAGTAAAGAGGCATGAGTGTATTTACATAGACCTAAGAAGGTAATTTTTTTAAATGTTGGTTTGAAGTATAAATGAAAAATTAAAATGGTATATTTGTAGGTGTGCAAATTGATATTTCAATATACATTGTGAATTAGTCACACCAAGGTAATTAACATATCCATCACCTAACAGCTAATGTGTGTATGTGTGCCAAGAATATTTAAGCACTTCCTTCTTTGCAAATTTTCAGTATACAATACGATATTGTTAACTATAACCATTGGCCGTGCATTAGATCTCCAGAATTTACTCATCTTACACCCCTGAAACTTTACACCTCTTAGCCAATATCTTCTCATTTTTTCATTTAAAGCTAATTTGTAAGTACTTCTAGTTAGCTAGAACTTGGAGAAAAAAACTTAGGACAAGTTCTCAAAATTAATCTGGATTCTATGTGGTATATGTTGGAATTTCCCTCTACCCCATAAAAGTGCAATAACTGCTTTTTTCATATGGATGTGAAAAGCTCAGGAAACAAACAAGTTCTGACTCAAAGCAACAGTTCATCTTTGCAGAAATGTTAGCTTTTCTACTTCAGAAGGAGCTAGTGGTATAAGCACCAACTCATGCATCCAACAGAAGCTTCAAATTTTAGGGCAGG